GTTAAAAACTTTTTATGATTCTGTGGCGTCTTTTGTGATCTTGTATGCTGTAACCTGCTGGGGAGGGGGACTGTTGGAGAAAGAAATTACATATTAAATAAGCTTATAAAAGGCCAGGTCCTGTTGTGGGGTGTGTACTACCCACTATAAAAGAGATTGCACATGATGGAATGATAGATAAATTTGTCAGTATGATGAACCACGATAATCATCCTCTTTTTGATACAGTTCAAGCTTGTGCAAGCTCTTTTAGTGCAAGATTAAGTAAACCGCGGTGTTACAGAGAAAGATACAGGAAGTCATTTTTTCAACAGTGATCAGATTGTATAACCAAAATCATACTATGAACTATGCTGAATTGTAGCATTAGATATGGACAAGTGTTTACTCGTTTGTTTGAAACTAAGGTGTGCTATATGAATGTAATTTTATTATTGTTTTTATATACAGTTGAAGTCAGAATGATTAACCACCCTGATTTATTACCTCTCCTCTCTTTCCCCAATTTCTGTTTACGGAGAGAAGATTTTTTTAACACATTTCTAAAAATAATAGTTTTATTAACTCATACTTCTAATAACTGATTTATTTTATCTTTGCCATGATGACAGTATATAATATTCTACTAGATATTTTTAATACATTTCTATACAGCTTAAAGTGACATTTAAAGGCTTAACTTGGTTAATTAGGTTAACTAGGCAGGTTAGGGTAATTAGGTAAGTTATTGTATAACGATGGTTTGTTCTGTAGACTATTGAAAAAATATAGCTTAAAGGAGCTAATAATTTTGACCTTAAACAGTTTTTTTTTTTTATTATTAAAAACTGCTTTTATTCTAGCCAAAATAAAACAAATAAGACTTTCTCCAGGAGAAAAAATATATATTATCAGACATACTGTGAAAATTTCCTTGCTCTGTTAAACATCATTTGGGAAATATTAAAAAATAAATAAATAAATAAATCAAAGGAGGGCTAATAACTCTGACTTCAACTGTATATGTAACTTATTTAATCTATTTTAGTATGGAGAGCTCTGCTGTGATGTGAATATCCCTTTGGGATTAATAAAGTCTAACAAACAAACAAACAAATATCTGTATCCTGAAGGTTATTACAGAGGAATATGTTCATGTACAATTTGCCTTATTGTACAAACATTCATATCGCAACTCTTATTCACAAAAATAAATCTAAGAATAAATTGTAAAATATTAATTTAAAAAAACATTAGTGAATTCTAAATTATTCTGTATAATGTCACTATAATTATATTTAATTCAATTTAATTTATTGTTTCTATTTTGGATAAAATACAGAAACCCAATTGTAAAAAAAAAAAACATTTGACAGTGATGTCAAACTTAAACGCGTTTTGAACCTGATTTGATTCATTGTTCTGTTTTTTGCATTACATGCAAATTAGTAAATATATCATTAAATTGTGCCTCATTTGCATATTTAGGCAACATTTTAGAAAACTTGCAAACAATAATGCAATCAATCAATGCTGATAAATATTACCCAGCAAACAATTTTGTGTTTAATAGATGTCTAATAAACATCTAAATATAGACAGCTTGACTAAAACAAGGCTAAACTTGAGGTGTCAGTGAAAATCTAATAGACATCTCAGATTAGCCAAAAACTAGACTACTCGTCAAATAGACAGACTTTATGTGTAGTCATTCTAGTTTTGGCCTATTCTTAGACGTCTATTAGATTCTCACTGACAGCCCAAATGTAGCCTTGTTTAAGCCAAGACGACTATGTTTAGACGTCTATTAGACATCTTTTATAAACAAAAAATGCTTTGCTGGGTAGCTAATTATTTCAGCGTCTTGCTTACATATTATTATTTTTCATAAAGTTTAATATTTGGCAATGATGTGTGCATCTACACACATGTAAAGTATCACTAACTTCTGTTTATTTGATGATAGTCTAGTTTTGGGCTATTGTTAGACATCCATTAGATTTTTACTGACAGTCCAAATTTAGCCTTGTTTTAGCCAAGACGACTTTTAGACATCTATTTAACATCTTTTAAAAACAAAACAAAAAAAAAATGTTTGCTGAGTAGCTAATTATTTCTGTCTTGCTTTCATATTAATATTTTTCAGAAAATTTAATATTTGGCAATCAAGGCATGTGCATCTACACACATGTAAAGTATCAACATGAGAAATGCGTTGTCTATGGTGCATGTCTTTACTCAAATCCTCTCTCTCTTTCTGTTATACACACACATAAACTCGCGCACACACACACAGACAGAGGTGAGGGACTGTAAACCCCTCCTTTCAGACCAGCTCCCACAGGAACATTTTTGCCAGTCCTTCACCCTCATAATTATAATAAATTTGACATTTCTCAGATAATATTGATTTCTTTATTTTAACATTTCACAGTCGGTGATGGTCCAAAGCGTTGAGAAACAGGATGTCTATTGATCTGAGGCTCATGAATCCCCTTCGTGTATGTGATCATTTTTATAAGGCCTTTCTCCCAAACATAAATCAATATTTTATATTCCCAGTCTAAAAGAGGTGGGGGTTTCGGGTCTGGACACCTGAAACACCTGAAAGCTGCAGGAATGTTTAATGACTAAGATTTTTGGGGGGAGGAGGGTGGATACACTTTAAAAAAATTATATGATCAATTAATCCTAACAGTATGTTTTTAGGTCATTGTAACTTATTAAACTAGGTTAATCATGTTCTAACTTAATTTTATAAGTTACACAAGCTGTTTTAAGCCAGTTTAACAATTTAAGATTAATGGACTCATAAGGTTAATTTGATTCAGCTTAAAAATTTAAGGCAACCAGGAGATTTTACAGTGTAGTAATATGGAGATAACTACACTGTAAAAATAATCCCGGTTGCTTTAAAGTTTTAAGCTTAAACAAATTAACTTTATAAGTCCATTGAGTTTATATTATGTTAAATTGACTTAAAACTGCTTGCTTAACGTGATTAACCTAGTTTAATCAGTTACATTAAACTAAAAACTAATGTTTGTCATGACTATTGATCATATATTTTTTTAGAGTGTAAACATTTTAACCTTACAAGCAAATTATACTTGATCTCTATTTGAGGTAATGTTGTGTTTCAGAATTACATTTAGAGATGGAAAACTTATCCAATACATTTGAAGCCTCAAATACATCGAAAATCTGATTAAACTGTTTTCCAGCAATCTTCAGATGTATCTATAAATTACCAAAGTATCGATTTGTTTCTATGCCGTAATTAAATAAAGCTCAGATGGACGGAATCTAATATTAAAACAAACACTATTAAAGGAATGGACATCATTCAACAAGCTAAAATTTGGACTGGTTAAGAATTAAATAAAACAAATTCTCCAATGCTAATTTCAAACAGAAACGATGTGAAATTAATTCATTGATTCCGTCTGTATTTTAATCACCCAAAAAAATGAGAGGAATGACGCGCGAAAATAAAAGATAGCTCAGCCTTATTCACTTAACAAAAGAGACAAATGTTGAGTTTACCCACTTCGCATCGCATTTTTATTCCCGCTTTACTTCAGGCTGAAACCAATTTCTATGTCCTTTGTGTAAAAGTATTGATTCTTGAAATTTGTTGTGTTTGCATTCCTGCACATTCTTCCCGCAACTTTCTCATTGTGGTGTCGCAGAACAAATTGTGACGAGGTGAAAGCGCTGCCTTACCTGTGTGTTTTCATTCTCATTTGAAATGTTTCACAGGCCGCCGCGTCCTGATTGTGTTTTGTTATTTCATCAGTTCAATAAAGATATGACCTTTTTAAAAGTTCAGGCGACAACACGACACGGAGCAGCTGTAAAACGATATAGCAGTTACTGTCACTTCATTTAACACTGAGGTACTGTTTGCTCTACAAATTCTGTGTGGTAATTTGGGGAAGAATAGCAGTGATATGCATAAGTTTATATGAGAAACGGAAATCTAATTGGAAATAATTAAGGAAAAGTTTTAGATTTAAAAGAAAATAAACAAATTTAGCGGTTGTCGAAAGCATTTAAATAAAGTCGGTCATAAACTTAGCCATATCATTTAAAAAATATTTAGATGATGAACTTCGTTTTTAGTTTTTTTTTTTCTTTTAAACAATACAAATAGCCTATTTGTGTGAACATTATTACGCTTTCCTCTCTTATTTGTGATAAATTGTAAATCTTCTGAAAAAATGTCGACTGTAATATTGCCACAGAAAATATATTTTTTTTCAGGAATGAATTAGATGTTTTAGCAGAATAAAAACGTTTCAAGAACTTTATAAACAATCTGGAAATTTTAATATGCATCGAAAGTAAATGTTACTGACAAACAAACAAGAGGAAATATATAATAGTTAGGTTTATTCAGCAATACACTAGATGAGAGAAGCTTAACATAGAATGCAGTGCAAAATCCATAACATCATATAGAAAACAATGATCTGAGAAATATAAGCATAATGTAAGAATTTTAAACCAGTTGCACGTAAACCTCATGGACGTTATTTCAATATGAAATTAATACAAAGTGCTGGAGAAAGTTAATAGCTCATAACGAATTCCCTTCATGCATACTTTCTGGACAGTAAAAAAGCGACCCATATCTTAATAACAGTATAATTCACTACTTTAAAATCATAAACACAAAAACGTGCTTTATTTGTTTGTATCTATTCTGAAATCTGAAATGTTGCAGATAGAGTTTTAAGAATTATCTCGTGCACTCTCAGTGCAATCTCTATAGACTATAATGCAGAATGACTTAATTAGTAAAGTACCTTGTCAAAATTATTTTGATCCCTTAAATCATTAGGCTACATCTTGATGACACGTGTAAAGGTGTATATAAATGCTTTGCAGGTAACATAAACAATATGACGCGTAACAATACAAATACATGTCCACCACACCGCATTTATTTTCAGTATATAACTGAATACACTTTAAACAGGCATAAGAATAGTCCCTTTTCCTCCATAATATTTTTCTTGAATAATTATTTCCTCCAAATAGGACTGTTCAGTTTTGTCCCGGGCAGTCTTTCTCCGATCTTTAAAAATACCATCCGCCATTTTCATTTCCTAAAAAGTCCGCAACATCGAAGAATAACAAGGTTTCGAGAACCTGCTTCAGTTCAGACGAGATTGTTTAGAATGGTAAAGTGTCATGAAAGAGTTTATCAATGATCGCAGGCGTGGGCACCAAATCCTCCAGTTTCAAGTAAAAGATGCGCTGCAGACCCTGCGTGCACAGCGCGCGCACCTCCGGCAGCTTCTCCAACAGTTTAGACAATTCACCACTGCAGGACACCTGATCCTTCAGACAGTTTATGAGCTTGTTTTGAAGTTCCTCTGCTTTCTTGGGCTCCTTTAGTCCGTGTCTCTCTATGGAGATAAGAAAAAACCCGTCAGAGCTCTGAAACATGCTGTATATTCTGTGCATCACTTGGAAAAGGTCAGACATGTCTTACCTGTTACTATGGTGAGAGCGGCTATGCAGGAGAAGGCAGACACGTCTAAGCTCATGCTCTGAAGATTAGAAGAAAACTCGACAATAGAGTCGATCCACTCCCCAAAGCCTCGCACGCACTGCAACTTGTGTAAAACCATTCCGTTGCAAAAGATGAGTTTGTCCTCTGGCAGGTTAGATCTGGTGAGAAAATTGAAAAGTTATTATATTATGTCTTTTAAAAATGTAGATCCATCTAAATTCCAATGATACTTAGCCTACCTGTACGCCAGCCGCAACACGAAGAGTTCAAGGAAGGCAGACTCGAAAAGGAGCTCCTGGTCGCATTTGGGCAGCTCGGTAAAGCCGGGGATTTTTTCGGCCCATCCGCGAATGATGCTCATTGAGGCAGTGAGTAGATCGTAGAACTGCTGAATGTGCAGAGATTCATCTCCTCCACTGTGATACTCCGGACTCGTCTGAAACTAAGATGTAATACAAAACTGTTAATGGAATATAATAGAGTAAATGTATTTTGGTCATATTCTAAAACAATAATTAAATTGTCAATTTGACTTAAAACTTAAATTTATTTTACAGAATGTTGGAAGTTTGAAGCTCACTTTAGAGTAGTCCAGACGGGCCATGGAGGGGTTGGAGTCTATGTGCGCTCTCACTAGTGCGTTCAGGAGATTGACGGGTGTGAAAGAGACAGGGATATCCTGCGGACTTTTAGGTTTGGAGGGGAGGCGACCTCTTCGACCTTTTAAGCTGGCGGTTCTGACAACTGTAAAAAATAATAAATATATACTGGTTATAGACACTGCAGGACTCTCACTACAAATAAACAACTGAGATGTGAACAAAACCAAAAAAGTGCTCATTACCTTCCTTTACCATCCCAACGACCAGGCACTTTTGAAAACGGCAATATTGGCATCGATTTCGCCGTCTTTTGTCCACAGGACAGTTTTTGTTCGCCAGACAAACGTATTTGGCGTTTTTCTGCACCGTGCGCTATGGAGAAACAGCACATGTATGATGTGTATTAATTGCATGTAAATCAACTCCATTCGCACAGAAACAACTTGAACTGCAATCACAATGTGAGATCACAATAGAATAGGACACTCAAACCCTGCACTCCAACCCAAAGCTGTGTAATACATTCAAGGGCCGGACAGGGCAGACATTCGGTAAATACAGATCCGTGGGCAGTCATAATTTGGGGTCCCCCGGCGCTCTCTCGGCGACCCCTCTTGTCGGATTAGTGAGATTATTCTATCACGAGGGTGACATAAAGAGCTGTCTTAATGTCACCACTGGGAGTTCCGTTACGCACGGTTAGGCGCAATACGACTCTAAGCACAAACCAATTTAATTCTGGACGAGCGTAATAGTGGCGGAGATGAGCGGAGGTGTCCCTGGGTGCACATCGGGTCAAATCAATACAACTGAGATAAATAAGGGAATACTGTGTGTACCAGACCAGTCCTAAACTGTGTTCCAATCTCTAGTAGGGTTGGCAACATAAGGTTATAGGTTCAGACCCTGACTGCAAAGGGTGAACCATGAACTACAGTCATTTCCATGCAAAAAACAAGTGCCGAGGGCCCATAATAAATGTACTTTGAATAAAAGATTTGTGGTCATTGGCTAATTTTTACCTTAAAGAATCCTTTGCACCCCTCGCATGTGCGCACTCCGTAGTGCTGACAGGCTGCGTTGTCCCCGCACACAGCGCACAAACCCTCGCTGGACGGAGATCCTCTAGCCTGCGGTGATGCCACCGGGCTTTCCAGTAAGGGGTGCCCGACGTTTAGGGAATGGGATAAACCCACACCGTGCTGTTTCCTCGGAGGAGCCGGCAAAGCAAAACTGTCCAGCGCGCGATGTGCGGTGTCCGGGCCCATGGACACGTGCAGGGATCCATCGAAGCGCATCTGGCAGCTTGGCATCGGCGTGTCAACCGGAGACTGCTTGAACGAGAATAACCGAGACATCGCGTTTTTCCGCTGCTGGTCCATAATATGTGACGTCGCCAGGTAGTTCTGGTGAAAGCTGTGAAGGGATCCGGTGTCTTCCCACGTATGATGTGGAGCCGTTGGGTAACTGGGGGACTGGGAGATGTTTGGAGTGGATGGTTTATAGTATATAGCTCCGGTATGGGGTATGCTCTCCTCAGCCTGATGCGGCTGATGGTGCTGCTGCTGATGGTAGCCGTGTGCGGGTATCTCCTCCACCTTGATGGACAGCTGATCCCCAGAGTGGGCCATTTGGTAGAGGCAGGGAGGCTTCACGTCGTAGTTGGAGTTGTAGGTGTCCACGAAGGTGCTGAAACTGGGGAGCGAAGAAGTGACAGCTATCTCTGCGTTAGTCAGGTCCATGCTAAACTTGACAAACTCCGGCGTTAAGAAGTCGCAGTTGTACTCTCCCGTGGTGTTGTAGCTGTAACTCTGAGATGCAGGGCTGGCTCCTGGAGGTGATGTCCCATACTGAGCCTGGACGCAGGGCATGGCTGCAGTGTTAGAAAACTCAATTGTTATAGCTTTCTCTGACAATGTGCATATTATTTGTGCAGATATTTCCTAGATTTACACATGTGAAAACGAGTGTCTATTTGTTATAAAGAAAGGCATTTTATTTATAAGAATTCATTATTTATTTTCACTGTTAACCATCTGCGTAAGAGAGGCAATTAAACGCATCACTTTCCATCGGAAAGCATGTATGCAAACTTTCTGCATTTCCCTGGCCTGCTTTAGTTTACCTCCGCACACCTGCTACTTTTATCTCTCGTGGAACAATCTCTGAAGTCAGGGCTCTTGTACCGGTTGATGTCAGAGCGTCTCTTCGTTCGCTTGCTTTTCTGTAAAAGGAATATTTTTTTTCATCAGCCTTTCTTCTGTATGACAAGATCTGCATTATATATCCGACCATTTTAGCACGAAAACGTGGTGCATTTTTGTGAGATCAAGGCAGTCAAATTACTTCAACTTAACTTAAAACAACGTTAAAGAGTTTGCAAAATCAACATTTAAACATTTCAGCATTTAAAGGTAAAAGCAAATAAAAAATACCTTAAGTAAAAAGATTATGCATTAATAATACACATATTGGTTAACATTCTACCAACAAACTCCCGAAAAGAGTTTAATAACTGTTACATACCTCAAGACGCTGTCGAATAAGTTGCAAATTATGTATCCATGTAGGTGTTCCTGCTGATAGCCCAGAAGTTAGGTTTGCATGTATAGAACCAATGCCGTTGAGCACCTTACTCCTTCGACTGCAAGCGAAGACTGGAGCTCGAGCGCAATGTGCCTTTGTTTATGAGAACTCTGAATGCCACATCCCACGTGCTAACAGGGCGTGACGTCATTCGCGTCAACCCTTGACGCGAGCCGGTGGCTGGACAGAGGCACTGTTCTTCCTTCCGTGCTGTCTTTGCGCGCAGTGCGCAACTCAATTGTATGTGCGTTTGCATACGCGGGGCTGTCCACTGGGTCAGATGAGTTGAATTTCCTACACATTATCTGTTTGCCTAATATAGAAACCACCTACACAAGATCAGATCTCACCGATTTAAAGCAAAGAAGTGGGTTTTTTGTTGTAAGAATTGTTGTAGAATACCAGTGTGCTATTTTTGGAGAATTGTCAGTGACCACAAACAAATCAAATCACAGACTTCTTCTTCTGTTTTATTATTATTATTATTATTATTATTATTATTATTATTATTATTATTATTATTATTATTATATATACACCACCGGTTTTAAAGTTGAGTCAGTATGATTTTGAAATGTTTCAAGATAAACTTCTCGTGCTCACCGAAGCTGTATTTAATCAAAAAAACAGTACACATTGTAATATTGTAATATTCATTCATTCATTCATTTTCTTGCCGACTTAGTCCCTTTATTAATCTGGGGTCGCCACAGCGGAATGAACCGCCAACCTATCCAGCACGTTTTTACGCAGCGGACGTCCTTCCAACTGCAACCCATCTCTGGGAAACACCCACAAACACTCATTCACACATACTCATTCACTTTTATTGTGAAATGTTATTGCACTATAAAATAACTTTTCAAAAGTAGTTTAAAATTTAAATATATATATACTTCAGTGATTTTAAAGAGGAATTTTCAGCTTCATTACTTCAGTCTTCAAAGTCACATGATCATACAGAAATCACTCTAATATCAATTATTATTGTTATTAATAATAATAATAATAATAATGGTAATAGTAATAAAAGCAATAATGACTGGAGTTATAATTTCATTTAAATCTACATACAATAAGTAATAAATAAATATTTATGAAATAAGTATTTGACAACTGAACAATTGTTTTATACTTAATAAATGTCGACTTGATGAACAGAATAATTTTCTTTAAAAAATCATTAAAAAGTGTATAGTGAATGTGTGTATGTATGTTTGTGTGTGTGTGTGTGTGTGTGTTTATGTGCATTAGTAATATTTATATAAACATTAACATTTCTACGTATATATATATATATATATATACTTTTGTGACAGAACAATAAAACATTTATATATAAAAAAACAATATAATGAGAAATGACAATAATAACAGCAACAATATTAAATAAAAAGGAGTAAATAAAATAATAATAGTAAAAATAAATAAATAAATAAATAAATAAAAACTTGATAAAAGTGGGGGGGGGGGGGAGAAGGGGGGGGTGGAGGAGGTGATGTCAATGAATTGGATAGATACAATCAGTGGACAAACTTAGAAGCGACTGAAAGTTATGAGAGGTTGCCATTTATCATAAAAAATTTATTAAAAATAAAAAAGCATAAAATGATGTCAAAAAACACATTAGCATACTGACACACACACACACGCACGCACGCACGCACACACACACGCACGCACACACACCCACCATATAAATATATACTTTTTAAAGAAGAGCCAAAGCATACTTTAAGAGATTAATGCAAAGCTGACATTAATAGCAATTAGCAACAATGCTGATCGAATTGCTTCATCTCTTTAAATATTAAGGATGCAGGACAAGAAACAGAGTAATACAGTGACGCCATCTGTTTTTACCTGCATCATGCGCAGGGAAAGTTTCAGTAGGTTAGGATGTTTTTCATCTGATTCCACTTCTCTATCTGAGCGCTGAAGGTTTTCCATTGTGAGAAGGGAATCCCGCTGAAACAGAGGCAACTTTGTTTGGACTGAAGCGAGTTGCGTCATCGCTACGTCCGCTTCTTCCAACTCCATGACGCCCGTGATGCGGTCGCGCTGAACTTTTCAGGCTGAGAGTCTCACCTGTGAAACTGACACGATAAAGTGCCTCGTGAAGAATCCACAGAACAAAATAATACCTTTAAAACACTCCAAAGGGCGTGCTGTCGTACATCCCGCAGCTCAGTTTAGCTTTTTAATATCACAGAGAGAAAGAGAGAGAGAGAGAGAGAGAGAGAGGAAAATAGCAGTAGGCTATCAAGAAAATAAATATTCTTGCATAAACGCGTTCTTGCAAAAAAATAATCTTAAAATATGCCTTAAAAAACAATCTTAATGTTTAAAAAAACGCCAAATTAACAACACATTTTTCGAATTAACAACACTTTCACACTATTTTCTTTAAAAAATAAACACATTTAGTTTTTAAAACCCAACAGGTTAACCTATATGTCGTCTAAATACATTCGATTATAGCTACTACCCTTTAACCCCGAATTAAACAATGTATTTCGTGTCACGCATCGTCCTTTATTTTTAATGACGGTCTTGCAAAATACGTTTACAACTAGTCGCAAGTAAACGCCTACCTAAATATGATTGGACGAGCGTTGTGAATCCTCAAAACTCATTCGTCCGTGTGCCTGTCAGTCAAACGCTTCCTGTCAGTGCACTTCCTGGATTCCTCAATAAGTAACATTGTAACATCACACAGTTGATAGCTTCACTGTCCATGAATTTTCCTTTTAGACACCATCATCATCACCGTCACCAAAAGCAGTAAGTAAAAACCTGATTTTGTCGATGTGTTAGGCTATTTACCGTTTTCTTTTGACGTCGACCGTCGAGGCTGTCCGGTCTATTCTTGGATGCGAGCCATCCACTGTTGCTCCAGTCCATCAATTCTTACACTATTTGTCACGGAATTGTTTTAAGCGTTATATTCATAGCTTCAGGCTTGGCTTCATATAATCGCACGATGTATTTGTCGTAATGTCGATCGTAGAGATTTGATTCTGTATATGTGTGAGTTCAAGAGATGGACAGGATGGATTACACTATCACTGTTGTCTTTAAGATTTAAGCTGTTGTGATGTTTCAGATTAAGTGAAAACGATTTGAGGAAGGATCTTATAGTCTGCTAATGCTACAGTTTTTTTTTAAATGTTCACACATTTAGCCTCATTTACATATTCAGCGTTTGATTCTGGTCAAATAATCTGTGAGATCTCTTTCAGACATTGTGTCTCCTTTCTCTCTTTTGCACATGGGTGTCCATAAACGAGCCATGCGGGACAGGCGTGAACTCAAACAGTGTAGTAAAATGATTCATTCACTTCCTCTAGTGTCATGTAGTGATATGACTTGCATCCCTACCCAGAGCAATAGGTCGAGATAGATTATAGCTTTACTTTGACCTTCACCAGCTTGTCAGCACAGTAGTCATGTACACAGACTGGACCTGGACATGTGGAAGTTATGTCGTATTACAGGTTTATTACATCATCACAAGATTGGAGAGTGATTGTTAAATTTGTGAATCGGTGAATGTGATTGTTTAATTTGATAACACCTTCAAATATTGGTCCATTATGTACACTATACTGTTCCTAAAGTAAATGTAAGATTTTTTGGGGGGTTTGTTTGTTTTTTGGGGCAACAGTATCTCCGGGAGGAAAGATATCAAAAGATTCGTAAAGAAATGAGTGATTTTTAAACTAATGAAGACAGCAAAAGTCAATGATTGATTTTCATTATTTAACCTAACATGTTTACTGCTCCAAAATATGGTAAATGTTTCTCAAATTAAAATATATTGTGTTCAAAAGGGGAAAAAAGTTTTAGTTTTTTACCCAGACATTTAAAAAGAACATATTTTAGAGCACTAATCATAACATCGTGATACTGTTATATTTTAATCCAAGGTTATCATACCGTCAGAATCATATACCAGCCCATGCCTAAGTACAATTTTAATGTATTTAATAACATGAGCAAATAATGAACACCATTCTACATATATTACAGTAGCCTATTTATTCAACTTTGTTAACATTATTTAAGAAAATTAAAGTCACAGGACATTTACAAATGTTAACCGTAGGCTGTAAAAGATATGGATGTAGTATTCGTGACGTCAGCCATGGATTTTTGAAGAACGCAAAAGAAGCTACAAGTCAGCGTGGCCGCTGTCGCCATATTGTACGCGCGTCATCGAACCGACCGGTGGATACTAAACAAGGGCAAAGAGTTGACTACATGTCACTACATGACAACTGTATGAACCAAAATTGTTCTTTGTACCAGGCTGTAAACACCTTTTTTTCTGCTGTAAAGTTGGCCATTTTAACAGTGGGGTCAATAGAAATGTGCTCTATTATGGAGCCAGGACTAGCGGAATTTTCATGAATTGCAGTTTCAGTTACATCCATATTTGCTTCACAACAGAGAGCGGGAGGTTGCCACTTGATGTTAACAAGCACAATGTTGGATTTTAATAACGCATTAGTAACTATTGAACTATAATTAATACAATATTGTTCGTACTTAATTCATGTTAGTAAATATGTTAACTAATGGACCATTATTTTAAAGTGTTACTGTTCATTTTTCTTTTTGTTTTGGGTTCTCAATTATTTCGTCACCTTAGAATTAAAAGAATCTATCTGACATTTTTGTCAAAATTGAGTTATTGACATATTCTTATTAAATGACAACTTATTTACATTATGAGATTTTTTTGTTGTTTACATTTTAAGACTTTTTATTAAAAAAATAAAAAAAATGTTACACACATACTGTTTGCTATGGAATGCAAAAACTTTAAAGCTCAATATGCCATAATATCTGAACGCAGATAAAACCTTATAGTTCCAAGATGACGATTTGAAGTGTAGTTTTGCGAGTTTTTGTGTTAGATGTGCTCGCTCTCTGTTTTAAAAAAAATTATTTTTAAAGATGTTATCAATTTATATATTTCCATTGGGAAAGCGTGTGGACATTGCTTATTTTATTTAGTTTAATCTTCAGAATGTAGGCAAAAATGTATACAAAGTTGTCAGTTAAATCAATTTAAATAATCAAGAAATTTCAGACATAAACATTTGACATAATGATTCTTTTTGTTTACACTGTTTATGTGACAGAAAGATTGTACCATTTTTTGGTGTCCCCATCAAATTTAGAAACGTTTTACTATAATGTTTTAAATAACTTTTAAGAAAAAAATATTCCTTTTTCATTCAGTTTTGATTGTTAAAATAACAATATACTTATATTAAACCTGTACTTATTAATGTTTTGATATTTTAAATGCTTAAAAACTTAATAGTGACAAATAGATCAAATTCAGAGGTTTGCAGGATAGTGTCAAAGTATGTAACAATTTTGGACCTTTTTAATGTGACATCAAGTTATTATTGTGCAAAATATTTCTGACCAAATAAGATATTATTACACCAAACGACATATTAGTTGATGTCTAATCCTGGAAATCTTAGTAAAAATTCTAGAGTAGCAATAAACAAGTTTATTTTTAATTAATGTTAACAAAGAGAAACAAATACTGTATTAAAAATGCATTCTTCATTGTTTGTTTACATTAGAACATGCAATTAAACTACTGCAGGTTAAATATGTTTATATATAATAAGTTTTATTTTAACTTTAACTTAATTTGATTGTAATGCAATGTTGTGCACCTTTTGTAAAGCTGCTTTGAGACAATAGTTATTGTAAAAAGGGATATACAAATAATCGAGAATTGAACTAGTAAATGTGTTAACTAATGGAGCATTATTGAAAAGTGTTATTGTAAAATGGTTGATGTTCATAAATAGAAAAAAATATTAATGTTAAAGCTTTATTTATGCTTTTAATGGCTAATTTGTGCATGTTACATTTAACATATGTAATAAACATAATAAATATGTAGTACTTTGTGCAAAATATCCAGTGCTTTTTTTTGCATAACAGTTATCAAGAGTTGGAAAAATAAAGAAATATTAAAACATTATCTAATACCAAAAGTATGACTCTCTCTGATGTTTTTAAATCTGTTTCAGGGATCCATGGCTTTCAGAAAGGCATTGAAGGGAACTCTAATAGGGGGCGGAGCTGTAGCTACAGCCGTCGGCCTATCACAGTTCTTTGAATACAGGAAGAATCAGGTATTAATTTACAGTAAATACCGCGAGTGTTCTTCTCAGTGGTCTCAATGTGAAGTTCTGGCCAAATCTTTTGACAAATACCACACATTTTGGTTTCACATTTCACATTCACACAGTGACTCCTACAGGTTAGAGAACAGAATAGACCGACCGCAGCTGTTCACACCCGTCTCTCCTAAAGCGTGTCTTATCCTGACTCAGGAATGTGCTCTCTGTCTTTATACAACCTTAAAGATACAGCTTAAAGGTGCAGTAGCTGGTTGTCTTTAGAAACAATTTGTTATGCTGGCTAGAAGTCTCTTCACATCCTGATAGCAATCATTAAATTAAGTGGTCCAAATGTATTTATATGTATTTTAATATTCTGTGGAAGGTCTACGAAAAGTTTGTCAAATCAGAACGTTAGGTCCAAACATTATTATAGGCTGTCCCTGCCTGTCAAAATTCAGTGCTCAGCGTAATTGAGTACAACCCATTTTGAAAATGAATATTTGTATCCATTTTTCAGTGAATATAGGCAATGTATTTGGGTGCATTTGAATAAAACAGATTTATTAAACAGATATATTTATTAAAATTATATTTTAGTCACCAAACAGATTTAGAAATTGAAAGATAATACAATTAAATTCAAGCTAAATATTATTTTAAAAAAAAACAACCTACAAAATTTCAACAATTTATTTATTTTTCCTTCTCTTCCTTCTCTTCCTCTTTTTTTAAATTGTATTTAATATTTTTCCATAACATATACATTTGGGTGTACTAGTTTTTGGACCGTCATCGTAAGGTATTTAAGTTGATACGCTCCAGATTTGGCTTCAGTACTCACTAATGTATATGCACACATAATATTGTATAGCTTACTATTATAAATAGGAATTTAAACGAGAGATTTGTGAGGGGTGTACTTATATATGCTGAGCACTGTATGTAATTGCTAGACCCGCACAGAATCTGTGCATGCAGAAATCCACAGATTGTTGAGCCCATCATTCGATTAAATGATTTAATCATGTAAATGTGTGTAAATATATATTAATTTACTTTTTATATTTATTTTAGTAATATTATTGAATAATATTATATTATTATAAATAATGCGGTTTGTAAAGTAATATTATTACTTATTAGTAGGCCCACACCAAATCTGCGCGCAGAAATCCAGATTTTCCGCAGATTTTTAGCCCATCATTAATTCTGTTTATTTACTTAAGTAAATGTGTGTAAATTTATATTTATTCAGTTTTTAAATAAATTTCAGTAATATTATTGACTAATATGAGAATGGTCATCAGATTTATGTACAATTGCCGTTTACACAGTAATATTTTCTGTCTTTTAGTAGAGATATTATATGAGAGACTTGCTTTGTTTACCAAATAAAGTGGATCTAATTGGATTTGCATTGTAAACATTAAATCAAAGATAAAAAGATGTATTAAAAAGAACATATTAAGGTTTTAGTTATGATATTCCCAAAATAACTCAGCAGAAATCCATACATTTTTAACAAAATTCTCAGCAGAAATAGCCAAAAACGTCCGCAGATTCTGTCTGGCCCTACTAGTAGACATATGAAAGACTTACTTTGTGTATTACATAAGTAGTTCTAATTAGATTTGCATTGTAAACCTTAAATGAAATAAAAAGTAATAACTTTTAAATGTGTTTTAAAAGTTTTTAGTTACGCTTGTTTAGTCATGACGTATTTGTGTCGTATGGAAAATTGTTTCTGGGTCCAAGCCACTACTCATGTGAATTGAGAAAATATTTATTTATGGCCACTTTTTAGTCCTATTACACATTAAAGTGAATTTTATATGAAATCATAGTGTACACAACAGTGTCTGGACTTGCTGCATAACAAATACCAAAATTTTAACAATTTATAAAAGATTAATCACTTTCTGGTCGTCGTATAACAGGTATATTTACAGTTGAATTATTAGCCCCCCTGAATTATTAGCCCCAATGTTTATTTTTTTCCCCCAATTTCTGTTTAACTAAGAGAAGACTTTTCAACACATTTCTAAACATAATAGTTTTTATAGCTCAGTTCTAATAACTGATTTATTTTATCTTTGCCATGATGACAGTATATAATATTTTACTAGATATTTTTAAGAAGCTTCTATACAGTTTAAAGTGACATTTAAAGGCTAAACTAGGTTAATTAGGTAAACTACGCAGGATAGGGTAATTAGGCAAGTTATTGTATAACGATGGTTTGTTCTGTAGACTATTGAAAAAATATATAGCTTAAAGGGGCTAATCATTTTGACCTTAAAATGGTTTTTAAAAAACAAAAAACTGCTTTTATTCTAGCCTAAAAAAAATCAAATAAGACTTTCTCCAGAAAAAAAAATAAGACTCATGCTGTGAAAATTTCCCTGCTCTGTTAAACATAATTTGGGAAATATTTAAAAACTAAAAAATAAATAAATAAAGGGGGGGTAATATTTCTGACTTCAACTGTATATTGTGATCGTGATTTTCAAAAGTATTACAGCACTTTGTAAACGTTTATTATTACCATTTGATGAGACTCCTCATTTGAAAGAGCGATTGGGCCCAGAAGCCGATTCGCATGACGTCACACTTAACAAGCGGATGCTCCCGAAATCATTCCACAGATGTTTTACAAAATTCTGCACCGAAATAACAAAAAATGTCTGCAGATTCCAACACAGGCTCATTGGGATTACATACCCCTTTATACATTTCTGAAGAGTGCAAATTATGTAGCCAGAGCTACGCATGGCTTCATTTAGTTTTTAAAGCAAACGGTACAGGGCGGTATGATGCCGCCGACGGCTTCTGTTTCTTTTCACCCTACCAGCTGACCGCTTATCTCTGTGTGGACGGCTTTTCTGCTGTTACCAGTTTGCCCGGTGGCTCGCTGCGTACATTGACGGATCTGAGATGCAGAGCAGAGTTGACCGTGAAGATTGGGTTTGAGTCTGGTGAAGAATGGTGCTAGAAAGCAGGTGAAACAAAACAAAAAAAGCAAAAAATAAAATTAACAAGTAAATAGCAGGGTGAGAACGTGGTAAGATCTGAAAACGTGGTAAATATTGTGGGTGGGCGGGTCAGTCGGTGCTTTTGAAAACGCTATTAGTTGGGTTTAGGGAAGGGGGTAGGCGGGGGGATTGATCCATCAGTCAGTTAGTCAGTCGACAGCGACCTCTGGTGAATTTAAGTTAGAAGAACAGGCACGAATGGAACTTGCGAGAGAAATTTGAGATCTGAAAAATCATACCCAGCAGCCTCTGGGGGATTTGCAAAAACTAAAACTGCAACAAAAAAAAAAAAAACATCCTGCAAGGTATTTCGCGCTCTCCAGAAATGAATATAGGGGTGCGTATCCATAATGAGTCTGGATTGGCACATTCTGTCTGGCCCTGTGTAATTGCGTATTTCTGCATGTCCCACTTGCACAGAAAGCATTATGTCATTGACAACCTACCATCTTTTGTTAAAGTTATGTATTGTAATAACTAAGGGCCTACTCACACTATGCCATCCGTTCCGTGCCCAGGCCCGTTTCCCGGATCGTTTGAGAAGTGTGAGTGCGCTGAATCGGGCTCAAGCACGGTTCACTTGGCCGGCCCTGGCCCGGTTGGAAGAGGTGTGCCTGAGCGCGGTTCACTTTGGGCTTTTGTGTGTGAGTGCAAAACGCGCCAAAGGCCGAAACTGAAAGCGAGACGTGACTTTTAAGGGACTGTTTCATATGGATTTATAATTCATTCTTACTGTTCAGTGAACGCAAACTGCCGTAGTTTATTAAAGACGCAAACTCCTCACTGCACGACAGCTGTGCGCCTTCAGCAGACCTCCTCATTCCTGCAGCACGAGAGCTTTATGATTGTTTATGAGTGCCAAAAGTGGCGGATCTGTTAGGCGTAATATCTGACTGCGTGTCCCAGCATCCCTAAGGACTGTTTGGCGAAATATTTGACGGCATATCAAACGACTGAAACGATATAACTAGAGAAATCTCCACTGTGCTGCTGAGTGAGAGAGCGCTTCTCACTGAACAGCGCAGCAGCGATGACGTAAGCGTGCCGAAGCCCGTTTGTGGTGTGAGCGCGGGCCGTCGTGGGAGACGGGAGGGGGAACAAGCGTGCTTTGGCCCGGTTCGAGGCAACTGTACCTAGTGTGAGTACGGCCTAACTGTACTCTAAAGTTTTCTCTCTGGTAAATGTTATGTGATTTAGTGAAGTTCTCTAGTGCACACACAAATGTTCAGGAGGCATAGATTTTGATGCTTTGAGCGCTATCAGGCTAACATTAGCATTTTCCTAGATCTCCTATTGCACCTTTACCTCAAACCCTCTATGCCAATATCAAATCCCAGATCACTTTATTTATAACCGTCCCCTTAAATAGCCTATTCATGTTTTCGTGTGGTCAACGGGAGTTCACGAGAGCATACGACAAATCTCATTAAGATCAGACCTAGCAAATCCAGTTACATTAACGAATCTCCAAAACACCTTCAGGTAGTGCCTCAAGTCTCCGAACTCGGGCCGTTCTCTCTCTAGGGTGGACTATCGTATTAAAATCAGGTTGTGTTTGCTAAAGGGAGATTAGAGTCGAACAGTGATACACACATTGTTTAAAAGATCTCTCTTGAATATGTAATCATGAACAATCTGATCCCCATTCACGCCATCAGGGAGTGTGTCACACACCATGTTCTGTGTGTATTTAAACTAGTAAGAACCCCAGGGGTCTCGTCTGTTTAGATGCTATACCAAATAACGGAAGGTCAAGTAGATTAAGATAATCAACAAGGCTTTCTGAAACAAATGGAGGAAAAAAAGGCAGACCCTTGAAGAGCAATGGGAGTCCTGATTTTCTCTCTCATCATTTATTTAAATCTTCCCAAGCCCATTTTGTCCATTATCTTGCATCTCAACTGTTCCAATCCCAATGAAACTCCAGGGAGCGAGAGAATTATGCACTTTCAAGGATGCGGTTGCCTAGGAGATTGTCACTACACTATTAATTTGACCAAAAAAGATAAACAGTTATGGGAGAACTTGAGTTTGTATGTGTGTGTATATATATATATATATATATATATATATATATATATATATATATATATATATATATATATATATATATACGCACATATTTGTAAACAAATTGGTAAGGTGTTTTTACATTTTTAATTGAATTATTATTATTAATGGGTCTAAAATACTATTTAGAAGATATGTGGTTTCATTTAAGTTCAATTATATTTTTTTTAAATTCAATAATTAGTTTATATTAATAATTTATTTTAGTTTTCAGTTTAACCACATTTGCATTTGTTTTTTTCATTTATTTATAATACATTATTATTATAATTCAAATTGGAATGCAGTTTAGTTTTTGTTTAAAGTTACATTTAATAAATTAATAAATCAATAAAAATAGTTTATAATTATAAATAGATTATAATTTTTAATTTTAATATTTTATTTTTATTTTAATTACAATATAGCATTATACATTTGAATCATAGTAATCATGTTTCTGTATTGATAATTTGGTAATACATTATTATTATTATTATTATTATTATTAATATTATTATTACCACTATTATTATTTAAATTGGAATGCATTTTTTTATAAAAACATCTTTTATTTATTTATTTAAAAATGTATATTTTCGTATTAATAATTTTATAATCTTATAAATTTTATAATTTAACTTGTAATGCATTTTAGTTGTTCTTTTTTGTAAAAAAAGATAAATTAAATGAAATAATTAAAAAATAGTTTATTCATTTATAAATGTATATAATGTTTAATTTTAACTGTTTTTTTTAGATTTTAATTAAAATATTGAATTATACATTTAAATCATATTAATCATGTTTTTGTATTGATCATGTGGTAATACTATATTTTAATTTTGTTCAAAATAGTTTATTCATTTATAAATGTTACAAATGTTTAATCATCTTAATCTTTTTATTTATTTGTTTATTTATTTAAATTAAAATATTGCATTACACATTTCAATTGTAACAATCGTGTTTTGTATTAATTATTTGATAATGCAATATTATTATTATTTTAAGTTTATTTATTCTAGCTGTTTTTTTTTTATAAAAAATAATGTATTAATTTATGTTAAAATGTTTAATTAATTCAATATTTTATTTTAATTATTAAATATTTTGTTAAATATGTTAAATATATGTCTACATGTTTTATGCCTTTCTCCAAATATTTCCACACACCCTCCAGTGGTCCCTTGCGGCCCTTTATTTTGCAACCACTTTACCATAGGTTAAACCTTCTTCATTCACTTTACTGATTTGATTTGAAGAGACTTTCAAAAGTCTCTGTACCACAGCATCACTTTGTCATCTGCATTTGCATCCCATGTTATGCGATTCACTGACACAAACTTTTGTTCTGATGTTTCTCCATTTATTTATGTTTATTTGTCCCTCGTGTCATCTCAATGCAGCCTAAAAGGGTAAGCAATAGTCAAAAGAGAAAGAATACATCTTCTTTCAAAAATTTGCTTGCAATCATGCATGTGACAGATGCTAATCTTTGGGATTGTAATGTTAATTTGGTGAGTGTGTCTGTGTGTGTGTGGGTGTGGGTGTGTGTTGTGAGTGCCTGTTTGTCTCCTCTATGGCAAGGGCACTGTTACACTCTGACTGAAGTATCACACTGCGGTGGCCGATTTGCATGAAATTCTCTGTTTCCGTCACACACTTGTCCTGATTGCAGGACAGCCTCTCTTAATAGTGTGCGGATGTTTTAAATATGTCTGTCCTTGGAAATAGACACTAATTACTGAATCTTGTTTTTACATGCTATTACTGTCTAAATTGCAAATGTCTGGGCTCATTTGGTCATTTGCAAGTCAAATGGACCCTACCGGCTTTTGGGGGCAGATTGATGTAATCATTTAGGCCAAATGCTAACGAAAAAATGAATAAAACGTTTCATTATGGCTAAAACCCTCGACACCTAGCTTCGCACTGGCTTGTTTTCTCATCATTTGAATTTTTGGGGTCTTTTTTGCCTTCGATTGGCAGCTGTTCATTCACCAGTTCACTCTCTTTTCAATTATTTCAGATTTGATGTTATTGATAAGGGGATTTATTGAAAACAAGAGTGTTTATACCTGATGTCAAACATGAGGATGTAATAAGACGTGACCCTGGACCACAAAACCAGTCATGAAAGTTTATTTTTGCTAAATAAAAATCTTTTCATTGATGTATGGTTCGTTAGAATAGGATAATATTGGACCAAGATACAACTATTTGAACATTTGGACTCTAAAGGCTCGTATACACTGGGAAGCTTTTCGTTAGCGTTTATCGTCATCGTTTTTCGAGACATTTTTCCATATTTAAATTCAAGCAATTTTTACTGACGTTAAGCAGAAGAGTATGCAAGATCACTCCTCGATGTTAGATGTCGTTACACAAGGTTTTGACATGGTGCGTCAAAACAAAAATTGAGCATGCGGCGTTTCTTTAAAATATAACACTTTTACATCTGTCGTTTTGCGTGTTGGTGTGCACGATTATATTGGCGCCCTTTATTTAGTCACATGACTAAATCGCATCAAACGTTGACGAAAAACGAGAGCAAAAAGCATCCTGGTGTGAACTGGCCTTAAGGCCAAAAATCTAAATAGAAAATTGCGTTTAAAGTTGTCCAAATTAAGTACTCAGCAATGCATATAACTAATAAAAAACAGGTTTTGATATATTTACAGTAAGAGATTTACAAAATATTTTTATAGAATATGATCTTTACTTAAAGGAACACTCATGAGCTCATTTTACAACTCACCTAGAGATAAAGGGCCCTATCATACACCCAGCGCAATGTGGCGCAAAGCGACTACTTTGTTGTTTGCTAGTTTCAGCTCGACGCAAGAGTCATTTTGACGTTTTGCAGCACACTGTTTAAATAGAAAATGCATTTGCACTCATATGTGCGCCCATAGGCATTCTGGTACAAAAAAGGAGGCGTGTTAAGGCACATCGCTGGCGCATTGCTATGTTGAGGAACTAAAATACACTGTTCAATAGACCAGATCAAAGCAGGTCTTTCTGACCACACTTCGTTATTATTGTTCATTTATTCGTTTGCTGAAAATTAAAACTGAATTTAGAAATAGTTTTAAAACAAATCTTTGCGCTTAGCAAACAAAATTAATTATGTATGCTAATAGATGCCTGTGCGCACAACACATTTTCCTATGCACGAGAGTAAAAGTAAAAGTAAAGAATGAGGACGCTCATCTCTCATTCTCGCGCTGTAGATGCTCTATTTAACTGTTTACTCACTAGTAAAGCATTTAGTTTTTCCACTTACAAAGTCTGCCATGTAAATAGCAAATGCACTGTGGCGCGTCACAACTGACTCTTAAAGGGAATGGGAGATGATACTTTTTTCTCAAAACACACCTAGAAGTCATTAAGAGAATAAGCTCGACCCTGCTAGACCATGCGCCATGGCGCAAAGCGGAAGTTTTCCGTCCTTAAAATAGTAAAAGGGGATTCGGACACGCCCTTCATGCTTTTGCGGCCTGCGCTTTGGACTTTGCGCCTGGATCGTCAAAATAGGGCCCAAAGAGTTGAGTTTTATCTTTTTTTTTTATTATTTATTCAGCCAATGTCTGGAAAAGGTGTAATGGATTTTAGCTTAGCTTAGCATAAATTATTGAACCAGATTAGACCATTAGCAGTGTCTCTCAAAAAATTCAGGAAAGAGTTTTGATTTTCTTATGTCAACTTGACTCTTCTGCAACTATCGTTGCATAGATTGCAACATATCAGCATAGAAAATTTCCGTAGACTAGGGTTGTCATGATACGGGAATTCGGTACCAATCGATACTAAAATTTTAAAAATATTTATTTGCCGCTAACATTTGAGTGCTCAACAGAAATGACTGTGATTGACTGTGAAAGTCATCAGTTCACTGAACTTACCTCTGTTTACTGAGGGTAACGACAGAGACAGGGACACTGAAGTTTTTTAAAGCCGTGATTCATCAGCGGATCGCTCGTATGTCAGCTTATAGACAAACCAGCTTGTCAACGTGACTTTAAAATGCTCCAGTGTCGCCATATCAATGGCAAACCAGCGGTGTTTAGGAATGTGCTCAACAGTGCTCAAATGTAAGCGGAAAAAAAACATTTTTTAAATTTTAGTATCGATTGGTACCGAATTCCATTATCATGACAACCCTAGTCTACGGAAATTTTTGCTGAAATGGTTAGGAAGTATACTCTCATTCATTCATATAATAATCAAGAAACTTTGTTGCCGTACCATAGCTGCAGCTTGGTATTTTTTGAGAAGGATGCTAATGGTCTAAACCAATTCAATGATCTATGCTAAGCTAAGACCCCATTTACACTAATAACTTTTTAGAAAAAAATTATCCACACTGGCGTTCTATATTGGCCATTATTGATTATTAAAACTGATATTCAGTAAAAGAGACAGGGTATGTTTCATAGTTTTCGAAGAAAATGAAAGGAAGCAGTTATGTTATAGACTCCGTTTTGTTATAAATATGCATACAGTGAAGCTGACGTTCATATAAAGTCATATGTTCAGTGTCTGTTAAGTTGCTAATATCAAAATGAGAATAGGCAGTTAGTTCATGTTTTCATTTTATTGTTAAGAAAGTGAAACAACGTATCCAGGGTGATGTGAATGAGTTTATAAAGTACTCTGTTACCTTCAAAGATTTACCCGATGTGTCCTCAGGAGTTTTTTTTTTTTCCATATCAAACCTGCGAAGTCTGAACTTATAAAAAGAAGATGCAAGACTGAACTGTGTGTGGGATAATTAATATTGAGAAAAAAGCCCCAATCAGATGAATCAGGTGAATGTCTGCAGCCCCATCTCTGTTTTCAGATGTCTCTGTTTTCCCCCATTTACGCTGACATGGGGTAGCAGTGGTTTAAAATAAAAACGACCTCTCCAGCGTTTTCAAAAAGCTCTGTTTTTGACGGATGGCGTAACGCTATAGCAAAACTTATGCTTTTAAAAACTTAAACGTATTAGTGTAAACGGGGTCTAAGCTAAAAGTGCTCCTGTCAGAACCAGAGATAAGCTGAATGGATTCAAAAATGTCAAAACTCAACTGTTTAACTTCAGAGGAAAAAAAGTGGAGTGTTTTTTTATATTTCAAGGATTTTTGGCATAGAAGAAAAATTGCCAAAATATACCTGCCAACATAACTATATTGCTGTTTTTGTGGTCCAGGGTCACTCATATTACTCTCATAATATGAAAAGTCACAGTGCAAGTTGCCATAAAGAGTGACCATATCATGAATGCTAAAGGGTTAACTGTCCTAAAACTAAAACTAGTACTGGAATATTTCACTGTACTAACCGATCTAGAACTTTAATAATCCAACACTAATTTGAAGCATTATTCAATCCCCTTAATTTCTACCTCTTGGCATGGTTACTAACGTAACGTTTCATGAAATACCTTCTATGTTGTCTTGATGTGATTATTATCAAAAGTGCATGTTCAATGTTTATCTAGTCAATTTATAGACATCTGCTTACTATTTAAACTTAATTTGAACTTAGATTTTCATTTTACTATTATTATTATAGATTAAAGATCAATCCAGAAATTAAATCTGTTCGAAAGCTTCTAGATTTAGATTTAGCAATAACAACTTGTATAGCAATAAGAACTGTGATTTAGTTTAATTGTAAATTGGATTGTCAGTTCTGGATTGAATCTTTAAAGAGTCTAAAGCTTATTGTTGTATTTTTGTTGACATCCTCTTGTTTTTCTGGATGCGTTCAGGCTCGGTTGGCATATGTCGAGGCACAGGGTGAGCTAAAGGTGCCGTTTAAAGATGCTCTCCCTACAAGAGAGGAACAGCTTTCAACACTGCGAAACACAGAGGAGTTTGATGTCCTGGTTGTTGGCGGCGGAGCCACGGGCTCAGGATGTGCCTTAGATGCTGTCACACGGAGTATGTACTTTGAGTTGCAGTAGTTACTGTGTATATTAACTGTAGATAAGCATGTTTGTTTAGCTCATGTTCATTTTCAGTTCAACCATGAATTGGTCATATAAATTTTTATGCGCATTTTGGAATATTGCTTAATGAATTGCTTGATAGAAACTTATGCGCATTGAGAAATGAGTAGGATAAACTTTCTATCCAATAAGAAAAAATTCATTGTGGGTTAGCTTCATCTTCTGAGGTGCAAGTGATTTATTATATAAGATAAAGACTTACTTTTTGATATTTTGCACCAGTTTATCAAAAAGTGATGATAGTTTTATAAACAAGATATTACAATTTTGCACATAAATTTAATTGACGTCTTTGGATCAAAACATAGCTACTGTCTTGTTTTTAAAGGCCAAAATGTAAAATTTTGTCATCATCTACTCATCCTCCACTTGTTTTAAACCTGTTTGAACTACTTTCTTTTGTTGAACACAGAAAAACAATGGGACAAAATTAGCCAATGACTTCCATAGTATTTTTGTCCCTACACTGTCGGAAATAGAGGTATCAAAGCTGTCACTGGGGTGTTACCTTTTTAAAAGGTCTATATTGATACCTTAAAATATATATATTAGTACCTAAAACATTTGAGAGGTACAATTTTGTACTTTTTAGATACTAATATGTATCCCTGAGCAAGGTTATTATAGTTAATGAAAACAAACGAAAAAACAAAAACTAAAATTAAAAATAATTGTCGTTAACTGAAATAAAAATAAAAACGAGAGTTTAAAAAAAAAAACTAGATGTGTGTTTGACCGTATGGCACCTAAGAGTCTGTAGTCCTGCTGCCATTGGCTGGATCGAGCTGGTTTTCCCCGAGTCATCCTCGCTGTTGATCAAATCAAACTGAATCATTTGAAACGATTCGTGTCTCCTGTAAGCAGTTAGCCACAAACTACTTACTTTTTAATGAGCCTAATAACCCCCTCTAACTCTAAACAATCCAATATATACTCTTATTCAGTTTTTAGAACAGTAATGTTACACAGAGATCAAATTTGAGATTTTGTTCAGTGAAACAAACACAAACAGTACATGACAGCCTACTGTGACTGAACTAAACTTGAACAACTGCACCGCGGGTAACTGAGGAATTAAACGAGAGGATCTGGAGAAAAAACGTAAGTTTATTTCATAACAGAAAATCGTAATGGAATTTAAATAAGTGTATCATGCTTCAGTTTGGCTGAAAAACTTTACTGTAAGACATTTTTCAGATCATGGTGATGTTTTAACTGACTGAAATTTCTATCACTGACTACATAATTTTGCCATGTTGAGTTCAAACATCCGCATTAAAGATCTTAACTTCCCGTCACTACTGTGTATCTAACCTCAGAAGCAGCCTTGCACACTTATTGTACTTAAGGCTGCTGTTGTGGGCTGCTGTATTTCAGATTGAGGATGAGTTGATGGTAGCGGTGGATGATAGTAGTCATGTGTCCTCTGAGTTTTTTATTATACAATATTTATTCTTTTGATTTTGAATCTTGCACCTAACAAATATACTTATTTAGAAAAAAAAAACTAAAATTAATACTGAAACTAATAAAAACTGAACTAAAACTAAGCAATTTCAAAATATAGAAACTAAAAAACTAGTAAATCTGTCTCTAAAAACTAATAAAAACTAACTGAATTTGAAAACAAATAGTCAAAACATAAAAGAAATTAAAACTAATGAAAAATCCAAAACTATTATAACCTTGTCCCTGAGGTATTAATATGGACCTTTTAGGTAGAAATGTGTACCTTAAAGGTAACACCCCAGTGACAGCTGTCATACCTTTATTTCTGACAGTGTTCTATGGATGACAATGGCTGCTTTTTTACCCAACATTTCTCAGAATATCTTGCTTTGTGCTCAGCAGAAGGACAAATGTTTAAGACATTTTCATTTTTGAGTGAACTGTATCACTTTGTCCATGTTAATTTACTAATCCTCAGACCATCCAAGATGAAAGTGGTTTATTTTCTTCAGTGAAACGCACAGAGAAGAAGTTTTTTTTCAACTGTTTTTTTGTAATGTATTAAATGCAAGTTAAGAGTTGAAATAACATACATAAGCAAAACAAAATGAATACATTTGGTTTTAGATTAGGGATGCTCAACCGTGTTCCTGGGGTTCTACCATCCTGCAGAGATCAAACACTACTGAACCAATTAATTAGAACCTGAACAGCACTTGATAATTACAGGCAGGTGTGTTTGATATGGCTAGATCTCAAGGAACAGGGTTGGCCATCCCTGCTCTCGATGATATCTTGAGGTCTTGTGAAGTGAAACAATCACTGTATGATATTACTGTTATTGGCTTTTTTCATTTTTATGTGACTGAAATATTTCAGTCACATATTAACAGTCAAAAGTTGGGAATGTAAACAATCAATATTTTCTTGTCAACTGAGATAGTATATTTTTCACATACCATAGGTTGGATGGTTCAGAATAAGCACTAATATCATTTCACATTTTTATTTCATGGTTTTGACATACTTTTATTCACAGCATCTAATATTGCATTTAAGGTACACATTTAATCAGTTTTTGGTAAGGCTGGGCGATATGACAAAAGTCTCATATCACACAAAAAAATCATTCTATATCCTAATTAATAGATTAAGCAGTATATACACTTACTGGCCACTTTATTAGGTACACCTTACTTGTCCCAGTTTGGACCCCCTTTTGCCTTCAAAACTGCCTTAATCCTTCATGGCATAGATTCAACAAGGTACTGGAAATATTCCTCAGAGATTTTGGTCCATCTTGACATGATAGCATTACGCAGTTGCTGCAGATTTGTCAGCTGCACATCCAAAATGCGAATCTCCCATTTCACCACATCCCAAAGGTGCTCTATTGGATTGAGATCTGGTAACTGTGGAGGCCATTTGAGTACAGTGAACTCATTGTCATGTTCAAGAAACCAGTTTGAGATAATTCACGCTTTATGACATGACATGTTATCCTGCTGGAAGTAGCCATCAGAAGATGGGTACACTGTGGTCATAAGGGAATGGACATGGTCAGCAACAATACTCAGGTAGGCTGTGGCGTTGACACGATGCTCGAATGGTACTAATGGGCCCAGAGTGTGCCAAGAAAATATCCCCCACACCATTATACCACCACCACCTGCCTGAACCATTGATACAAGGCAGGATGAATCCATGCTTTCATGTTGTTGATACCTAATTCTGACGCTACCATCTGAATGTCACAGCCGAAATCGACACTCATCAGACCAAACAAAGTTTATCCAATCTTCTATTGTCCAATTTTGGAGAGCCTGTGTGAATTGTAGCTTTAGTTTCCTGTTCTTAACTGACAGGAGTGGCACCTGGTGTGGTCCTCAAGGTTGTGCATTCAGAGATGCTCTTCTGTATATCTTGGTTGTAACTAGTGGCTATTTGAGTTACTGAGTTTCCTTTCTATCAGCTGGAACCAGTCTGGTCATTCTCCTCTGACCTCTGGTATCAATAAGGCATTTGCGCCCAAAGAACTGCCGCTCACTGGATATTTTCTCTTTTTCGAACCATTCTCTGTAAACCCTAGAGAGGGTTGTGCGTGAAAAACCCAGTAGATCAGCAGTTTCTGAAATACTCAGATCAGCCCGTCTGGCACTAACAACCGTGCCACATTCAAAGTCACTTAAATCACCTTTTTTTTCCCCATTCTGATGCTCAGTTTGAACTGCAGCAGGTCTTGATCATGTCTACTTGCCTAAGTTCATTGAGTTGCTGACATGTAATTGGCTGAATAAAAAAATTGTGTTAATGAGCATTTGGACAGGTGTACCTAATAAAGTGGCCGTTGAGTGTATATGTATATATTGACCGCATTGAAAGGACTATTTCTTTTCTTTTTTACATTTTTAGGTCAAAAATATACTTCTTCATTGACTTGCATTCCCTAAATCACCAAGAACCGTTTTTTTTAGCTAAAGATATTACAAAATAAAAATAAAAACATTTTCTGGTTAATAAAAAAGGTCACCTACATCCTGGATGACCCGTGGAGTAAATTACCAGAAAATGTTCCTTTTTTCAGGGTGTACTATCCTCTCAAATGTGATAATTTCAATTGGATTTCATAAAAAGGTTTTCTTCTCATTAGAATGTGCCCGGGTGCAATAAGCATGTTGTGATATTACATATAGCGGAGAAAGCCGTATGTAAATGACAGCAGCCGCAGTCTAAATATTTGGCAGCAGAAGGTCTCGAAATGCCAGTGCATTGTCTAATCCGTTCCATACCTGTCTTTCTGCCCCCTCGTCCAGATCTGAAGACCGCCCTAGTAGAACGCAGTGATTTTTCATCGGGCACCAGCAGCAGGAGCACCAAGCTCATTCACGGAGGAGTCCGCTATCTGCAGAAAGCCATCATGAAACTAGATTATGAGCAGGTGAAGGCCCCATTTTTCCCGATTTGCCCCTAATATTTCGAAGAAGGATTACGAGGCTGCTTGCGCCATCACTGTGACATTTTGAGCAGCTAGAAGACAGACTGAGAGAAAGACAAACATTTAGTAGGATACTGCAGGTCTGAAACATCACAGCGGAGGATTAATAACCAGAATATACTGGATAGCTTGACCAACAACTTTTTCTTATTACTGAAATTTTGATACAATAAAAAAGAGGCTTTAAATGACAGTAAGAAATTTGCACTTTCAAATTTAAAACTTGAAATAACTGCATTCAACAGTAGTCGGACGATTTAATTAACAACAGGAATAAATGCATTTAAAATATGGTTTTATTATTATAAATAAGGTGGTAACACTTAATCTATAAATCACAATATATTCATATTTACAAACCATTAACTAAGGCTGTTGGGTCAATAAACTACCTATTAGCTGTTTTTTTAGCTATTAGTGTATTAATTGGGTTTAGGTATTGGGGAGGATCAGGTACGTAGAATAAGATACTTTATATTTACTAAAACGCAATTAATATCTTAATAATAGGCAGGTAATAAGCCTGTAGTTAATAGTGTGAATTGTGACTTAAACCAATGTGTGACCAATCAGGGTTATTATGTTATAATTTTATGCTGTGCATCAGTGTTAAATATTTATCATACAGCAGGGAAAATAAGTATTAAACATGTCATGTTTTTTTCTGGAAATAATACTGTATTTCTAAAGGAGCTGTTGACTTGAAATTGAAACAGATTTTGGTAAAAGCCCCAAACAACACAAACATAAAAACCAAACAAAAAAAACTGAAATAGTTATGTGTGATAACAATTAAATGACACAAGGAGAAAGTACTAAACTACTGAAATATATTTAATACTTTATATATACAGTAAGGCTTTTTGGTGATGGCTGCTTAAAGACACCTCTCATATGGAAAATGAAGTTTCATGCATTGCTCAGGCATGAATTTTTCACAGACTTAAACAGAGTGTAAAAATCTTAATGGTTCTGTGGGTCTCGTCTATAAAATTTTAATTTGTATTTTTTTTTTTTTATTGGACTCAGGTCAGGTGATTGGCTGGGCCATTCTACAGCTTGATTTTTTTTTCTCTGAAAGCATTTGAGAGTTTTCTTGGCTGTTTTGGATTATTGTCTTGCTGAAATGTCCCTAGCTTCATCTTCATCATCGTGACAATGTAGATGTTGGAGTGAAGCAGCTAAGATTAAATTACAATTATGAAGGGCAAAGGGTTGCTGAAGAACTACTGAGAGATTTTAGCAGCTGTCTGGGCTTTCACTGCCTTTCTACACCTCCCTTTCTTCGTGTGTTCAATACTTTTTCCCGGTGTCATTTCATTTTATTACGCATAACGTTCGAGGTTACAGAAGTAACCCTTCGTTCCCCGAGGAGGGGAACGGAAGTGCCATGAATGGGAGGATTCGGATCAGAAGCCGCTTATCTGGAGAGTATTGAACGGGCCAATGAATGAAATTAATTGGCAGCGTAAGCTTGCGCAGGTGTGCGACATCTGCAATCATCTCAGCATATAAGCACACCTGAAGCCAGCAGACGCCATCCTTTTAAGCTGAAGAGACTTTCAAACAGCTAAGGGACAGTCATTATGGCGACGGAATATGGCACTTCCGTTCCCCTCCTCGGGGAACGAAGGGTTACTTCTGTAACCTCGAACGTTCCCCTTCGGTTGGGGAACTTCAGTGCCATGAATGGGAGAATATGGAAAGCGCCACAATGACTGCACCTTACCAACACCCCCGATGAGGAGATAGTCAAGCAAGCGTGACGCACCCACATCATGGGGGGCGCGGTCCTCCAACGTGTCCCTGGCCCTAATTTATCCTACTTCAACAGAAGTTTTACGGATTTAGATATATTTTTTGGGAAGTCGTGAGCATCTAGATAATTCTAGGAAATACGACAGTACGTTGGGAAGCGTGCAATCCCGATAGGGAGGACGCTGCGGAGGCCATCCGTTACCCAAGGGGGGGATAGATGGCAGAATTTACCTATGGACTAGCCCTAAAAAGGGGGAGTACGCATAGCAAAGAGTGGTTAGCGGAGAGGGAAGACACGGGTCCGCCCAGGGGGGGGACTTAACCGTGGCGGAATAAGCATATGGGATCGCCTAGTGGGGATCACGCATAGCAGGCACCTATACCCAAAACGCGGGCTGACCAGCGGGCAGACCTACAACGTAGTGGGCCAGCAAGTGACTCCTCCGCTGAGTCAGTGCTGGGGGCCACGGAGGAATCTGCAGGGCTCACCTGACGGGGAACTTTACTGACAGATAAAAAAAGGCGCACGTACCTCCGTGTTAGGGAGAATGGCGCAGCAAGCGTGTTTCAACACCCTACCGAGTTGTCTCCTCAATCACCAAAGGGTTACCTAATACCCTTGAGGAAACCGGCTCAACACGCAGATTGTAAAACCTTGCAAATGTGTTGGGTGTCGCCCAGCCCGCAGCTCTACAGATGTCTGTTAGAGAGGCGCCGCGTGCACGCGCCCAAGAGGATGCAACGCTCCGAGTGGAGTGTGCACGTACTCCCGGGGGACACGGCTGACCTCGACTCAAATAAGCGAGTGAAATGGCATCCACAATCCAGTGGGATAATCTTTGTTTCGATACGGCACTTCCCTGCTGCCGACCGCCATAACAGACAAAGAGCTGCTCAGATGATCTAAAATTCTGAGTACGGTCCACATAAATGCGCAGAGCGCGAACTGGACAAAGTAAAGAAAGGGCTGGGTCTGCCTCCTCCGGGGGCAGCGCTTGCAGGTTCACTACCTGATCTCTAAAGGGGGTGGTAGGAACCTTGGGCACATAACCGGGGCGGGGTCTCAGGATAACGTGAGAGTAATCCGGCCCGAATTCCAGGCACGAGTCACTGACCGAAAATGCCTCCAGGTCCCCGACCCTCTTGATGGAGGCCAACGCAACCAGCAGAGCTGTCTTCAGGGACAGAAATCTTAGAGATACTGATTCGAGTGGCTCAAAGGGATCGGATCGCAGACTCGTGAGAACGAGGGCGAGATCCCAAGAGGGCATGAGAGGGGGGCGAGATGGATTAATTCGCCTAGCACCCCTAAGGAACTGGATGACCAGGTTATGCTTTCCCACGGTGCCGCCAGCTACCGTGCTATGATAAGCGGAGATGGCGGCCACGTAAACCTTGAGAGTGGAGGGCGACAGCCTGCTGTCCAACTTCTCTTGAAGGAAAGAGAGCACAACACTAATCTGGCAATTTCGGGGGTCTTCTCTGCGAGAGACGCACCATTCAGTGAATAGACTCCACTTCAGGGCGTAGGCGCGCCTCGTGGAGGGGGCTCTAGCCTGAGTGATGGTATTAACCACCGCAGTCGGTAGGTTACCTAAGTCTTCCTCGCGTCTAGGGACCACACGTGGAGGTTCCAAAGATCGGGGCGAGGGTGCCAGATGGTGCCCTGTCCCTGAGAGAGTAGGTCCTCTCTCAAAGGGATCCGCCAGGGGAGGGCCGTCGCGAGGAGTGAGAGCTCTGATATCCAGGTCCGGTTGGGCCAAAGGGGCGCAACTAGCAGAACCTGTTCCTCGTCCTCCCTGACCTTGCACAGAAACTGCGCGAGCAGGCTCACTTGGGGAAACGCATACTTGCGCATGCCCCGAGGCCAGCTGTGGGCCAGTGCATCCGTGCCGAGAGAGCCCTCGGTCAGGGAAAAAAACAACTGGCAGTGAGCGTTCTCGGGGGAAGCAAACAGATCGATCTGGGCCTCCCCGAATCGCGCCCATATCAGCTGAACAGACTCGGGGTGGAGTCTCCATTCTCCAGGGCGTAACAGCTGTCGTGAGAGCGCATCGGCTGCACGATTGAGCGTGCCTGGGACGTGAATGGCGCGCAGCGATTTCAGCCGCGGGTGACTCCAGAGGAGCAGACGGCGGGCGAGCTGAGACATGCGGCGAGAGCGCATACCCCCCATGCGGTTGATATACGCCGCCGCCGCCGTACTGTCCGTCCTGACCAGCACGTGTTGCCGCTCCAGCACCGGTAAAAAGCGGTGGAGAGCGAGGAACACTGCCAACAGCTCTAGGCGATTGATATGCCAATGCAGCTGGGCACCCTTCCAGAGGCCCGCAGCCGCATGCCCGCGACACACGGCCCCCCAACCCGTGTTGGAAGCGTCTGTTGAAACAACAACATGGCTGGACGCCTGTCCTAGAGGCACACCGGCCTGTAGGAACGAGGGGTCGTTCCAAGGGCTGAGGGCGCGGCGACACAGCGCAGTAACCGAGACCCGGTGTGTGCCCGCGTGCCATGCGCGTCTGGGGACCCGATCGTGAAGCCAGTGCTGAAGTGGTCTCATATGGAGCAACCCGAGCGGCGTGACGGCGGCTGCGGATGCCATATGCCCCAGGAGCCTCTGAAAGAACTTCAGTGGGACCACTAGTTTGCTGTCGAGCTCCCTCAGACAGTTCAGCAACAGGCGAGCGCGTTCCTCGGAGAGGTGCGCTACCATGGTGATCGAGTCCAGCTCCATCCCGAGAAAAGAAATCCTCTGCACGGGGGCGAGTTTGCTCTTTTCTCGGTTGACCTGAAGCCCCAGTAGGCGGAGATGCCGAAGCACCTCGTCCCTGTGCACAATCAATTGCTCCCGCGAGTGGGCTAAAATCAGCCAGTCGTCGAGATAACCGAGTATGCGAATGCCCGCGAGCCGAAGGGGCGCTAGGGCACCCTCCGCAAGTTTGGTGAAGACCCGCGGAGACAGAGAGAGCCCGAAGGGGAGGACCTTGTACTGCCACGCTCGACCCTCGAACGCAAACCGCAGAAATTGGCGGTGACGTGGAAGAATGGAGACATGGAAATACGCGTCCTTCAGGTCTATGGCTGCAAACCAATCCCGAGGACGAACGCATTGGAGAATGCGCCTCTGCGTGAGCATTCTGAACGGCAGCTTGTGCAGACAGCGGTTCAAAACGCGCAGATCTAGGATTGGCCGTGACCCACCGCTCTTTTTGGGTACGATGAAGTATGGGCTGTAAAACCCACTCTCCATCTCGGCTGGAGGAACCGGCTCGATTGCACCCTTCGCCAGGAGGGCAGCAATCTCCTCTCGCAAGACAGGGGCGGACAGGGGGTTGACCCTGGAGAAATACACGCCCGTAAACTTGGGGGGCCGTTTCGCGAACTGAATCGCGTAACCGAGTCTGATTGTGCGTATGAGCCACCGCGAGGGGCTGGCCCGCGCTAACCAGGCAGGCAGAGCCCTCGCTAATGGAGTCATCGCTACAATCGCTGACGTACCAGCGGTGGGGCAGCGCGGAGTGGGTGTGCTGATCCGGGAAGCACGAGGGTCCCGCGGAAAAGCTGGAGGAGAGCGATTCGCTCTGGCTCCGCACCCTGACTCCGGAGAGGGGGCTGGAGGGCTGAGGGAAGGGAGACCGTCCCCCCAGCGCTCGTGAGCCACTGGCGAAGCACGTAGAGTCTGCGAGCCGGAAGGCAGCGCGTCCCGGACTGGCAGAACTCGTGCAGTCACATCCGGGGAAGGGAAAAAGTGCTCTTTTACTGATGTTTTGGTGGCACTGAAAAGTACCGTTGTTATCGGGGCCCCGCCCTCCAGCGGGGAAAGAGCAAGTTTCCTCTTCTCCGGACGGCCTGTCTCAGGGACGCTTCGCGGTCCGTTTACCGGACTTAACGGCGCCCTGGGCAGGAGGGGCTGCCTGCTTTCGAGGTGAACGCCGCGCCCGCTTGGCCGGAGGCGCAGGCGGGGGCGGGGCAGCACTCGTTGGCGGGCGCCCTCGGCGAGGAACAGCGGAGGTGGATGGCTCGGCGGGCGGAGCGGGCTTACGGCCACGCCGATAGATGACATTGCCCATCGCATCCGACTGCTCTTTCACCGCCTTGAATTCCTGGGTGAATTCACCGACGGTGTCGCCGAACAGGCCAGCCTGGGATATGGGCGAGTCAAGAAAGCGAACTTTGTCAACGTCGCGCATATCGGCCAGGTTTAGCCAGAGGTGGCGTTCCTGAACCACAAGTGTGGACATCGTCCTCCCCAGCGCACACGCGGCGGACTTAGTAGTCCGAAGAGCATAGTCGGTCGCGGTGCGCAGCTCATGTAATAAGCTTGGGTTGGACCCGCCCTCGTGCAGCTCGGCCAGCGCCTGCGCTTGGTAGCGCTGGTAGGTGGCCATCGCGTGCAAAGCAGAAGCAGCCTGGCCCGCAGCCTTATAAGCTCTGGCTCCGAGGGAGGCAGACAACCTACAGGCTTTGGACGGGAGGCGGGGCAAACCCCGCCACGTAGAGGCGCCGCGCGGACAAAGATTGACCGCGATAGCGCGCTCCACTGACGGGATCGCCTCATACCCCCTGGCAGCTCCGCCGTCAAGGGCGGTGAGGGCGGAGGCACTCGCAGCACGGGCAGAGAAAGGTGCCCTCCAGGACTGCGTGAGCCTACTGTGCACTTCCGGGAAGAAGGGGACGAGAGGCTTCGAAGGCTTCGCCTTCTGGTCCTCTACGTAGCACCCATCTAGTCGGTCCGGCCGCGGAGCTGGGGGATAAACCATCTCCAACCCCACGGCCGAAGCAGCCCGGGAAAGCACGGCTAACATGTCCGCTTCAGGATCCGATTTGACAGCGCTCACCTGCCCGGAGGGGGCGAGCGGGTCCGGATCTTCGTCGGACAGTGAAAGCCCACCCTCCGATGCCGCGGAGGACATCTGATCTCCGGTGTCAGCGAGTGTGAGAGCTACCATCTGGTTAGACGGATCACTCTCACCACCCGAAGCTTGGATGGAGCGCCGTGAGGAGCGAGAGGTCCGCGAGCCCGTGGGCGGCGGATTAGCTCCCGCTGAAACCCTCAGATCTGCCCGAGCGCCCGCTGCTTTTTTAGAACAGGAGGCAACTGGGGTGGCTCGCTCTCTTGCGAAAGTTAGCCGCGATCTTAGCTGTGCAACGGTCATGGCATCGCAATGACGACATGAACCGCCCGCGAGCACCGCATTAACATGCTGGACCCCCAAACATGCAATGCAGTGATCGTGTCCATCATCCGGAGCCAGGAAACCCCCGCATCCAGAAACGCACAGTCGGAGCGCCATCCTGAAAAGGACGTGCTGCACGACTGTGTTGCTCTTTTAGGAAAGTTGCAACTATACGCACCGCTCTGGAGGACCGGACCCAAAGAACCGCAGGCAAGGGAGTAACCCAGCTCGACCGTCTGCCACCGCGAAGACCCACTCTGGACCGGGAGACACACTCGTTCGCTCTGAAGTGCTGATCAGCAAGAGGAACCCTCATCGACTCACTCAGAAAGGATCTGAAGCGAAAAGGATGGCGTCTGCTGGCTTCAGGTGTGCTTATATGCTGAGATGATTGCAGATGTCGCACACCTGCGCAAGCTTACGCTGCCAATTAATTTCATTCATTGGCCCGTTCAATACTCTCCAGATAAGCGGCTTCTGATCCGAATCCTCCCATTCATGGCACTGAAGTTCCCCAACCGAAGGGGAACTTAATTTTGAAACTAATTAGATTTGTTTTCTTTTCATATATGAATTTCTTTGGTTGTTACCAACATCCAGGGGACATTTCAAATCAACAGCACCTTTAGAAATATGTTTTCTGAGAAAAATAGTGACGTGTTCATTACTTATTTTCCCAGTTGTAAATATTATATAAATATTTGAATATTTGAACTATTTTAATTTTTGAGTTCTTGCCTGAATATTGTGTCCTGTTTACTTTTTTCTGATCAAAACAATAAACAATAATAAAAAAAATTACAGTTGACACCTACTGAAGTATAATTCAGATTAACTGCAATTTATTTACCAACATACCAGAAACCTATAAATATTCATAGTCATATTTTGTACAAGAATCGGTTGAAGAAATACTAGATTTAAAGAACACAGTGCGGCCCCAAAATATAAAATATAACAATAGTTTTAAATCTTTGAATCTTTTAAATCTATTAACCAATACACAGTAAATATTTATTTATATTATACATAAAAAATTATTTTGAACATTAGACATCTTAAATTTTTTTACCTTAAATTTTTATGATTAGTTTTGTACATTACTTTACACTTTTAAGGGTTTTTTATTGCAGCTTTTCAATTTATGAGTAAGTTACAATAAACGAGATTTTCATGGTTTGTTCTACAACCTAAATTACATACAGTATATCAAATATTCCCTAAAAGTATGACTATGTGAATCATGAATTTTAAGTTTTACTGTTGTTTTTCTGCATTCACAGTACATGATGGTGAAAGAAGCCCTTCATGAACGTGCCAATCTGCTGGAAATCGCCCCTCACCTATCTGCACCATTACCCATAATGCTTCCTGTTTACAAGTAAGAAAACCAGTTCATCTAATTACAACCCATTGTTCGGTACCTGTCAGACAATAAAAGAGGGAAAAAAGGAGAAATACTAGACTTTGACAGAAAGAAAGTTAAAGAGAAAGACCGGAGACGTCCTAGATTCGTAAAAGACAGTTTTTGTATTTAAATCCATTGAGAAGTTCACAGAAATGGCATTGAACCTTTCATTTGGATGCCCGCAGCAGGTGGGGTTCAGTATTTCTGTGGATCAATGCTGAACCTCTCGCCTCCTCACTCTCTGCCCCTTGTCATTCGGGGTTTTTAAAGGATCTTCCTGTCCTTACCATCATCATTACTAATTACTCGTGGCATTTATGCCTTGCTCTGATATTTAAAGCAACCGGAGGAGTGTGAAAGGGTCACAGAAATGAGAAACCTCAAGATTACATCACTTGCCTGTCAGACTTTTTTTTTTTAAACATAAGACAAATAAAATATGACACAATATGACTTAGTGGTACCTGTACAAATCCATTTCAGCCCATGTACAACTGTATCTATTATAATTAGATATAATCCCTGCTAAAATGTGTTAAAATAGTTTACTCAAAACTCAAAATTCTGCTGCCATCTATGCTAATGTGTTTTTGTTTTAAAATGCATACGTTTTGAAGCATCTTCGACCAGGGAAAATGGAGTGTTTTGAAAACTCTTGAGTTTCAAAATGCTGGTGTTTTGTGTTCAACACAGGCTTATTGTGGATATGTACCCCTGTCTACATTTCTGGAGAGCGCAAATTATGTAGCCAGAGGTACGTGTGGCTGAATTTTGTCTTTAAAACGAATGCTACCGAGCAGTACGATGCCGCCGACGTCTTCTGTTCCTTTTATCGCTACCAGCTGACCGCTTACCTCCGTATAGATAGCTTCTCTGCTGTTACCAGTTTCCCCAGTGGCTCAAAGCATATGTCATATTTTTGAAAACACTAATGGTTGGGATTAGGGAAGGGGGTGGGTCAGTCTGTTAGTCATTCAGTTGTCACAAGCTGGCCTGGTTGGCTAAAGTGTATATTGCTCCCTCTGGTGGACTTATGCAAGAAAAACGCACACAGTGGCCTCTGGTGGATTTGCCAAAACAAAAACTGTGAGCAGACGTACTGCCGATCATGTGTTTCGCTGTCCCCAGAAATATAGACCTTGGTACATATCCGCAAAGAGCCTGGATTGCTTTCATCAGTCTTGACAGACTGAAATGCAATCTTTTAAAAATGGTGGCGCAGCTATTCACAATCGCTCGCTTATTGGTCTTTTGAACTATTGTTTATCATATCCTGATTCATCCAGCCTCTGTCTTATATGAACATTACACAACTGGTAAGGTGTCACGGTTAAATAAGGATACTGAGAAGAATCCAATATGCAAGTAAAAAGTTTATTTGACACAGAATAAACCAAACAGGGTAGTGATCTCAGCTGGCGAGCTAATCAAAACAGCAGAGTACCGTCATAACATGTGACCTACTATAACAAATACACGTTGGCGACCAAAGCAAAACAAACCCGAGTGACAAAACAGACACTCCGGAAGACGCACAAACCTGCAACCGTGACATAAGGTGCATATCAAATCACACACTCCAAATTATGTTTGCTCTTTGTTCAAACTTCTTATTTCAACTGAGCTGAAACAACATAATTCTTTAGGTTTTTCTTAGGGACAACTTAATTGTTTTATGTTTAACCAACTTAAATTGTAAAAAAGCTAATAAGGTAACTTAATTCCTTCATGGTTGTCCCGACAATCGATTGCGTGGAACCCAAGATTTTTTTACAGTTTATTTTACTTGGATGATTTACTTATTTGAACATTAAAAATAAACGTGGAATGTTGGAAACTTTGTGTACTCAACACCTACAGTTTTGCTCATGTAGAGGAAGGGGAGGAGCTATCAGATGCTGAGGTTGAGGTTATTTATTTTGTATTGTGAAACAAATTCTACCAAGCAAGTGATTATGCTATATACCAGGGATCACCAAACTTGTTCCTAGAGGGCCAGTGTCCTACAGATCTTAGCTCCAACCCTAATTAAACACACCTGAACAAGCTAATTAAGGTCTTACTAGGTATACTTGAATATATACTTGATCCTGGCAGGTGTGTTGAAGCAAGTTGGAGCTAAACCCTGCAGGGACACCGGCCCTCCAGGACCAAGATTGGTGACCCCTGCTATATACAGTTGAAGTCAAAATTATTAGCCCTTCTGTGAATTTTTTATTTATTTTTTTTCAAATATTTCCCAAATTATTTTTAACAGTGCAAGGAATTTTTCACAGTATAAAAGCAGCTTTTAATAATAATAATAATAATAAAAAATCATTTTAAGGTTAAAATTATTAGCCCCCTTAAGCAGTATTTTTTTTTCAAAAGTCTACAGAACAAACCATTTTTATACAATGACTTGCCTTATTACCCTAACTTGCCTAGTTAACCTAATTAACCTAGTTAAGCCTTTAAATGTCACTTTAAGCTGTATAGAAATGTTTTGAAAAAATATCTAGTAAAATTTTATATACTGTCATCATGGCAAAGATAAAATAAATGAGTTATTAGAAATTAGTTATTAAAACTATTATGTTTAAAAATGTGTTTAAAAAGTCTTCTTTAAACAGATATTGGAAAAAAAATATGCAGGGGGCTATCCACATGCATCCACATGAAAGCATAAAAACACACTGTGATGCATACAGAATGAACCAGCGGTGATAAAACCTTAGACTAAAGCCACATTGGTCAATGGGCATGTGACAAAACCTTGGGTTTAAGTGGCCAAACAATCACACTTTGACTGGATTTCTTGAAAATCTACACCCTGGCCAGAGTTTTTATTAGAAAGTTTCAGTTACTTTTTTGTGATATATGGACAAACTGCCTATAAAAATGTGGTTTTGAAAATACGTTCGTGTGGACAGCCTGTAGTGTTAACGAAGATCTTTTTTTCTGATACGCAAAAAATGCATGATTTTTTTTTATTCTACAAAATGCTTTTTAAATTGAAAACACACTAGTGCAAACAGCACCTCTCATCCACTTATTCCAAACATATTTTAGGTTTTTGTCTTCTGTTGAACACAAAAGAGAATATTTTGAAGAGTGTTGGTAACCGGTAGCCATTGATGTTATTGGGATTCTGTTGGATGTGAATGGCTATAGTTTTTAACATTCTTCGAAATATTTTCCTTTGTGTTTAAGTGAAAAAAATAACCTCATAAAGGTTTGTAATCCCATGAGAAGTAAATGGTGAGTAAATAAAATAATTTCTCAAGACCAATTTCATAAAATCTTTGTTAGTATTTTTTGAATGTGGATTGTGCTGTCAGCGCATTTGTGTGTTTCTTAGCCTTGTTCATCAACAGAAATAATAGTGTGATGTTGTTTTAATCAGGTGGTGGCAGTTGCCGTATTACTGGGCTGGCATTAAAATGTATGACCTGGTTGCCGGATCTCAATGTCTGAAGAGCAGTTACGTTTTGAGCAAGAGCAAAGCCCTGGAGTTCTTCCCAATGCTGAAGAAAGACAAACTGGTGGGAGCCATCGTCTACTATGACGGTGAGTAAATCTATGATAAATTCAGAGCAAATGTGTATCTGTTGGCCAGTAATCAACTTAAAATCGCAAACAAAAGTTTCACTCACTGCAAGAAGGTCGCTGGTTCGAATCTGGGCTGGCCCGGTTGGCATTTCTGTGTGGAGTTTGCATGTTCTCCATGTGTTTGCATGCTCCGGTTTCCCCCACAGTTTAAAGACATGCGGTACAGCTGAATTGAATAAGCTAAATTTTCCGTAGTGTATGTGTGTGAATGAGTGTGTATGGATGTTTCCCAGTACTGGGTTGCAGCTGGAAGGGCATCCGCTGTGTAAAACATGCTGGATAAGTTGGCGGTTCATTCAGCTGTAGTGACCCCTGATGAATAAAGTGACTAAGCCAAAGGAAAATTAATAAGTCAGAAGAAGATATTTTGAAAATGTTCAAATGTTTCAAATGTTCTGGTAAGCATTGAAATACATTGTAATTTTTTTCGTACTATGGATGTCAATAGTCACCAATTTCCAACATACTTCAGTGATCCTCTTTTGTGTTCAACAAAGAAAATAACCGCTTGAGGAAACCACTTTTATTTTGAGGTGAACTGCTCCTTTAATGTGTGTTTATAGAATAATAAAACATGGTACCTTTTCATTATCTTATGGTGTTTATTTACTTGGATTGTATTGTAATAACTTCAAAAAAATATCATCCTAATATGCCAGTTGGGGCAACAAAGAGGCTCAGTGGTTAGCACTGTTGCCTCACAGCAAGAAAGTCACTGGTTCGAGTTCAAGTAGGTTTCTTCGGGTGCTCCGGTTTCCCCCACAGTCCAAAGACATGCACTATAGGTGAATTAAATAAACTTAAGCTGCGTCCCAAATTACATACTTATGCACTGTTCGACGCCATTTTGTAGTAAAAATAGTGCAAGTTGTGTGTTCACACTGAAAACTCAAAAAATATTAAGTGCACTTTAATTACCCGGATGATGCTCTCATTCAGCCGCTAAAATGAAGTGTGTAATGATGGACACTTCACGCACTCGACGACCGCAGGTTTGCTTACGTAGCGGAAGGGGCGGAGCTATCGGACGCACATGTTGAATAACTTTATTTATTTTGGATGGTGAAAGCAAAATTCTCCTACGAGAGTGATTATAGCGCCTCCGGATGGTAAATGCGGCAATACTCACGGCAGGTATTACTTGATAATTCAGTCGTTTATTTCACTGATTTGGCAACAGTCAAACGTAATCAGGGAAACGGTTTGAATTTCCGCTTAGTAAAAAAACATTAGTGTGCCATTTGGGACGCCACTACATACATGTACTATCCTGTTGAGTGTGTAAGTGCATAAGTACATAGTGCATGAGTGCATAGTGTATAGTGTGCCATTTGGGACGCAGCTTTTATTTATTTTGGATGGTGAAAGCAAAATTCTCCTATGAGAGTGGTTATAGCGCCTCCCGATAGTGAATGCAGTTTTACTCACGGCAGGTATTTGATAATTCGGTCGTTTATTTCACTGATTTGGCAACCGTCAAACGTCATCAGGGAAACGGTTTGAATTTCCGCTTAGTAAAAAAACATTAGTGTGCCATTTGGGATGACACTACATACATATACTATCCTGTTGAGTGTGTAAGTGCATAAGTACATAGTGCATGAGTGCATAGTGTATAGTGTGCCATTTGGGACGCAGCTTTAGTGTATGTGTGTGAATGAGTGTGTATGGGTGTTTCCGCTGTGTTAAAAACATATGCTGGATAAGTTGGTGGTTCATTCTGCTGTGGTGACCCCTCATGAATAAAGGGACAAAGCCAAAGAAAAATATAGTAAATATAGTAATAGTAAAGGGGTAGTTCACCCAAAATGGAAGTTCTATCATTAGTTTTTCATCCTCCACTTATTGCAAATCTGTTTGAATTTCTTCTAAGGTCAAAAGAAGATATTTTGAAAAATGTTGGAAACTGGTAACGATTGACCTCCATTGTAATTGTTTTTTCTACTATGGCTGTCAATAGTCACTGGTTTCCAACATTCTTCAGAATCTCTTCTTTTGTGTTTAACAGAGAAAAGAACCACTTGAGGGAGCATAATTGACGAGAACATTGTTATTTAATGTGTGTGTTTATAGAATTATAAAACATTTATGGTGTTTATTTACTTGGATTGTATTCTAGTAACTTCAAAAACATAATCTAAATATGTTAGTTGGGGGCAACACGAAGGCTCAGTGGTTAGCATTGTCGCCTCAAAGCTAGAAAGTCACTGGTTTCTAGTTCGAATGTTTTTTTTTTGGAGCTCCGGTTTTCCCTACACTTCAAAGACGTACTATAGGTGAATTAAATCAACTAAATTGGCCAGAGTGTATGTGTGTGGATGAGTGTGTATGGGTGTTTCCCAGTACTTGTTTGCTGCTGAAAGGGCATCCGCTCTATAAAACATATGCTAGATAAGTTGGCGGTTCAATCCGCTGTGGCGATGGAAAATGAGTGAATAAATGAAAAACAGTGTTTTGTTCTTAATATTTCTCTTATGGAAACAATGGTATTTTTACCAGAGTCATTTTTGATGAAATTATTTTAAATACAAATATTACATTATAATCTTTAGTGCCTCTTGTCAATGAAAGCAATAGTATAAATGACGGTACATCATGTTCATGTACAATAGCACAATAGCATAATACAATCACACTAATGCCACATTTAATGACGTATTAAAAGTTATAAATGGCATCGTTCTTATAATTTTGTACATAAACCATACTTCATTCATTTGATGGATACAAATGAAATCAAAAGCATTCATTTGATGGAAAGCTTGCGGTTAGCTAAACTGTGCCGTTGTTTCCGGTATCATCATCTCTCCCAGAAAGCATTTAAATCATCTTGATATCGCCTTTCTCTTTTCATTATTTACATATGTGACCTTTAAAGAACAATCAAATCAAATCGAGTTGTGTATCGAATCGAATTGCTGTCAACCCATAGATTCACACTCTTAATTCAGAGGTTTATTTCTCATGAGAGGTTATGGGTTTGAATCAGACTTCTTAAATTATAATTCAGATTTCTTTATCGGTAGATGCATATCGCTCATAGTGGCGTATTAATTGCATTTTACTTCGTTATTAATCTAGTGGGTGTTGCTCTTCTTTTTTTGTCATTTAAATATGTCACACGCATTGAATAGAATTGAATTGCCGTCAACCTATTGATTTACACTCTTAACTCTTGTGAGAGATTACAGGTTGGAATCTGACTTTATAATTATTTGAAGTTTAATACAATTATTAAATTGTATATTTATATTATTTTATTATTTATATTTAAATTTCATATCTAAAATTTTGATATTATTTTATATTTATATATTCAAACATATATATTTATATAATATAAAAAAAAAAATATATATATATATATATATATTCAAGTATATATATATTCAAATATTGAGAAAAATATAATTATACATATTTAAGCTCTGAAAACTGAATGTTTTTTATTAACCCAGTGTAGTTTTCTGCAAATAAATGTTCTAAATGATCACATTTAAAATTGTAGACACATAATCAGTAGTTCATAAAATCAATATAAAATGCAGAATTAAACTAAATTCACACTTATTAACTGCAAATCCAGAGTATGGATAATAATGTGGAAGTGATCTGAAATGGGAATCAAAAACTATTGCTGTTAACTCATGAAATTTCATCCTAAATTTAGATATCATGTTATCAATTTAAAATGAATTATGTCTTAGTCAATAGATGCATATTAGAGGCTTTTTATGCAGGGTATAATTAGGTGTCCTAATTATAGTGTAACTATTTGTTTAACTACTGAGTAATATTAATTAATTACGTCTACTTGCTATTGGTGTTGGGTAAGTTATTTCCAAAAATTAAGCATTTACTAATTACACCATTAAAATGGAATTTAAGTTATGTTTTTGATTACTTAGTCTACAATTAGTAATTTAATTTACAATTTAATTACTTGACTTAATACTACTTAAAATCCATAAAAAAATTTCAACACATATAGACAATAGAAATTAAACTCTTTTATTTTAAGTCTAATAGAAACCTTTAGTTTAGTTTCAAAAAATATTAAATACTTCAAAGCTTTTAAACTAATGACACCACTTTTCATATGTTGACAAATTTCTTATTTCATTGTTTCTTAGGCATGCACAACTGTCAGACAAATCTAACAGTCTTATCAAATCTGCAAAATCAGGTTATTATGCAAAATATATGAATAAAAAATATATACATTATATATACACAACTGCTCGGCTTTCTTTTAATCCGCTTGTTAAGTGTGACGTCACGCGAAGCGGCTTCCGGGTCCAAGCACTCTATTCAACTGAATGGGGAGACTCATGAAATGGTAATAATAAACGTTTACAAAGCGATTTAATGCTTTCGAAAATCACGATCGCAGTGTATATGTCCATGCCTAATATCCGATGGCCAGAAAGTGATACATTTTTTTATAAACTGTTACATTTTTGGTATTTGTTATGCAGCAAGCCCAGAGATTGTTGTTTACACTAGGATTTTATATGAAATTAACTTTAATGTGTGATAGGAATAAAACGTGATCATAAAGGAATGATTTCTCCACTCAAATGAATGGCGGCTTGGACCCAGAAACTGTATTACATTCGTCACAAACACGTCACCACTTAACAAGCGGATATATATTTTTCAACTATTTACTCACTGAATTCATTCATTTTTTTTCATAAGCACATGCAATCATCCTAAATAATGTAACGTTCTGTAGTTGAACGATACAATTATTCTGCAAAATATATTCGTTAACAAAAAATTCAATTCACCTGCTTCTCTGAATTGACTTATGTACAATATTTAGGCATGTACATTATAAGTAACTGAAATTAAATTACCGGAAAATTGAAAATACTGGTAATCTTCTTTCTTTATTTTTTGCATAAAAGTAATTTAATTATAGTAATTATTTGCTTTTGTAACTAATCACTCCC